CTTACTGAGGCAGGAGACAGTGATGCTACACATCATGGGTGACATTCTTGTGCGAGGCAGGGCCTTGTAAAGGTGCAAATGAGGGGAGAGGGAAGCTGCTGTGGACTCAGCTTTGCATACACCTGAACAAAATAAGCAATTACTCCTGAAACTTGTGTGAAAATACTTTTTATTTGGGCAGAAATCTTATTTTAGATGCATTTTTGCAAATCTTTGTGAGAAAATCTGCATGGCCCATGTATCTGTGTTCAATTAAACTAGTAATGAAGTTCATATTATTCTTTTTAATGAAGGTAGGTACTGTTGCTTACTATATGAGGCAAAATCGCTCTTACTGGTGTCTTTCCCTTGGGCCTGATCGTCATGCCTGGCATGCAGCCCACAGCAGCTGGGCAGTGAGTAAGCAGTGCTGAATCCAATTAAAATGCTAGTAAAGCGTGTATAGCACAGGGCACCCATGCAGTCCTCTTATAGTCAGGGAGAACTTTTTGATATGCACAAATGAGAGAGTGGTGCTTCATACGTGTAATTTAGGGTCCACAGTGTTGCCAGACAGGTGTGGTCTTCCCTTGGGCACTGCCTCTCTCCCCTCATCAGTGTTCAGGAGCAACCCCTTGTTACCACGAGATCTGAAGAAGTACAGGTGATTACCCCAATGCGTTCATGCACCAGCCTCTCTGGCATAAGGGCCAGCTACCTGGAGTGCAAGAGTGCTTTTTTGGCCACATGAAATGTATGGCCAGCTGTAGAGACAACAGGAGCAGAACAGGAGAGGAAAGATGAATGATGGCTGCACCATCAGCCACGAAAAGATGTTGGAAGTTGGTAGTGATGATGGGCACGAAGCTGGCATTGAGTGTCTGTAGCCACCTGCACCACCATTCAGGTGACTGAGCAGCAATTGGTAGAGAAAGGACAGCATGGATGAAAAGCTGTCCATCCCAGGCACTGCCCTGCCATTGCCAATTCAGTTGCAGTGTCTGGCACTCCATGCTGTGTCTTGCTGATAGCCACTTGTGTCTCATCTCTCTTGAGCTTCCCAAGCACCCGCTGAGCTTCTGTTCACTCACATCTGTCTGATCCCCTTGGCACCACTCAGACCAGGCGTTTTGCACAAGCCCTTCTGCTGCCTGGAGCAGCCATGAGAGGTGGCTGAGCAGCAGCTAACACACCACACAGGCAGGCATAGACAAAAGATGCTCTCCTGAACGTCTCTGCTGGTGCCAGCCTAACTTTCCTCATTCTCTCGGAGCTGCAGCCTTCAGGTTGTATTTCTCTCTTTTGTTTTTGTTGTTGCATTATTCCTACCTCCTTCCTCTGACTTGCATGGAACTCTTGTGAATTTAAAAGGGTAAATAGCAGTGACGGTGTTTTCCACTGAGAGATTTCCAAAGGAAAATTAGCCAAATTTAAATTTAGCCAAAGGAGTTGAAGGATGCTTGCCAACATCTCATGGCAAACCTGTACCATAGCAGGGAACAGCAGGCAGGTTGGCCAGCTGGTTTCTGTGCTCTGTCTCCAGCACGGCAAGGCATGTGCTGTGTAGATCAGTACATGCTTTCTATGTAAGGGCAGAGCTTGCTCTCTGAGTCTGTTTTGATGGGACACTGGAGTAGGACTTGGGCTCCTAAATCACCTGTGTGCCTTTAAAGCTCTTACCACAGACGAATCTCCAGTCTTTTAACCTCTGTTATGAAACTCAAATCAGTTTCTTCTCTGCTTTTTAATGGTACTTTTGCTGGTCATGATGCTAGGGCTATTTGCTGAGTATTTCCTGGACCAGTTCACGTAGACTGCTGCTTTCCCTGTTGTGTGTTTTTTCCTTATGCAGTAGTTCAAATTCATCTGGCTTTTTGGTTTCTTCAGTGTTTGGTTAAAGGTTGTCCCTTCTTGCTGGAATGTCCTTTTGAAGAATAAATTATTTCTACATATTTGTAGAAATGAATTTGTTGAAGACAGTCACAGGCTTTTAGAGCCAGTAGGTTTTCTGGCCTTGCTTCATGCATAATACAGATCATGGAATTTTGTCCAGTGATTCTCACATTAAGCTTAATAATTTGTGGATCGAAGTGCAGCTGTTGTGTATGAACATGACCCATCATGGTATAAAGAAGTTTTGTAATAAATGAATATAAAAAGATCTATTCATTTCAGAGTAGTATTACTGTGCCATGGGAAAATTCTGACATGATTGCATGCTTTGATTTTTCTTGGAGTTACGCTGGGATTAGCTGAATGTGCAGTGAGGTTGCAGCAACAAGATGGGAGGTTTTCTAATATGGAAGAGCATCCCTTTTGTTAGAGATGTGCCTTTGCAGTCCATCACTGTTGCTGCTGAATTTGTTCTCAGGATCAAATCTGCCCTCCCACTTTTCTGGAGTTTACCAGGAAGTTCGCTTTTCCGTTTAGATTTTTCATTGGATTTGTGTAACCCTTCTGGAACAAACAAGCTGTAGATAAAATAATCTGCCTACTTGGGTATTGTGGCAGGAGCCACGTAATTCTTTCCTTAGCCAAGCAGATTTCTGTATGCATTTCCACCCTGACTGTTGTAAATGCTAAAAATATCAGAGAGTAAAAAGCAAAGCTCATCATGGTGGCTTTTTGTTGGCTTGAATAGCCATGGATAGCCATTGTGGAAAGATAAAATTAGTAAAATTAGACTTTTCTCCTTGTTTTGAAATGGTCATTACTTTCTTGGCTTCAGAAACTCCTTCATGCCAACAGTATGAATTTTACAAAAGTAAATGATCCTATGTGTATGTGGTGGTTGTGCATGTATATGTATATGTATATGTATATGTATATGTATATGTATATGTATATGTATATGTATATGTATATGTATATGTATATGTATATGTATATNATATGTATATGTATATGTATATGTATATGTATATGTATATGTATATGTATATGTATATGTATATGTATATGTATATGTATATGTATACTTTGACTAAGTAAAAATAATAGTAAAAGCAAATATATTGTACTAGAATCCTAACATCCTACTTAGAAGTGATTCATCTTTGGGCTGAAGTGTACAGAGAGAGAAACCTATTCCACTTCAGAAGGCAAGACTTGGATTTCTATATACATTAAGAGATCATGTGGTTTGTTTATACTTAATTATAATATGACGAAAAGGAGGGAACACATAAGTGGCCAGAACAAGATGTTTTACATAGGTGTTTGAAACATCAACTTCAGAAAGAAGAATCAGAGCACCAATGTATGTTCCAAAAAATTAATACATTCCTTGGTTTAGTAATGCAAAAAAGCAGATTATTTGTGGGTTTATTAGAAGCTTGGAAGAAATCTAATCTACTCTGCCTATTCGATGGCTACAAGGCACTGGATTAGACATAGATTATAAAACATGGTCTTAAATATTTGCAGGGCTGTATTTCAATAGCATGCGTGATAGTAAAAGACCATCAAGACTCACTCTTCTTGTCACCAGTAGCTTCCTTCAACAGAAGTAACAATGTTTTGAACCAGGAGAATTGGAGTTCTCAGAACCAGTTCTCTCTCAACCAGTATGGCTTAGTGCAGGCCAGATTGAATTGCAGTTCAGAACTCTGCATGAAAGATGGAGAGCTCTTCATTGATGTTTGCAGAAGTTTTATTTTGAGACAGTGCCTGTACTCACTTGGCATCACTGTCTAACTACTTGTCTTCATCACACACTATGTTCACAAGCACTTTTCATTAAAAGTACTTTCAGCACAGTTGCAAGTGAGAACATTTGCATCAATCCCAGGGGCTCAACCACAGTGAAAATTGTACTAAAAATAAGTGTGACCTTCTTGAATCAGCACTTTTCTGAAATTCCACTGAAACAGTATGGCTTTTTCTGCCATTGTAAGAAATGCAAAAGTGACAATATGTTTGAATAATTACCTCTGAAAAAAAGCTGCCTTTGGATGCAATTTAGTCCTTCGCAGTGTTAATTTATTGGCACAGACCCTGATACACATGTAGTCCAGTTGAATTATTGACATGTTGAAGCAGATATTTTGCATACATATTTGTGAATTTGAACAACTTTGTTGGCATCAGAGAATCAGAGAATTATGCTTTTTTCCTCTCTACTCCCTCTTTTCTTCCCTAAAAAATCCGCTTAAGGAGAGAAAATGTTATATACGTATAAACCTACCAATATACATCAGTTCTATTGTCAGTTTGGTTTTTTCCTAGGTAAAAGAAAGCAGATCTGTCCCAATAACATGTACATGAAATCACAGAGTAAGTGTGCTGGGCATTGTTCATTTTCCTGGAAGCTGTCTCCCACACAGATTTACACAGAGCAGTACACGCTGAATGAGAAGAAAAGACTGATGGTGCAGAATCACTCATGGGACAAGTTTTTCAGGCTCTAAAGGAGAGTGGTAGTGCTGTGTCTGCAGTACTGTGGTGCTTTCCTCACACCATACACGTTGTTGGATAGTGGATTTTGTGATGATGGGGAGTAACAGAGAGCAGCTATTTTCATGCTCCAGAGTCTCGCTGTGAGCCAAGTGGTTTGGATTGTTAGCCTGCAGACTGATACTGCAGATTAATACAGTTTAAGTGGAAGAGTTGGATTGCTTCCTAAGTTCTTCCCGTTAAACTATTGTTCTTCATGTACATTTCAGAAAAGATTTGTACATTGGATTGCAGCAATTCCAATGAGAAAATAATTTCAATCAATTTGTGTAGTGAGGCATTTTGTTTTGTCTTTCTTGCAGTGTACTTACAAGGGGAAAATTTTTAAACCAGCAAAGTGACATTTTGAAAAATCACAAAGAGAAAAAGGAATTAGCCCTTTTAATGGGTGTATATTGCTTTTAAGTAAAACCTTTAGAGGGAAACTGTTTTTCCAAGCATGCTATTTACTTCTGCTGCTTATTTCTTCTTTGGGCATTCCAAAGGGCCCCAAATGACAGCAAATAGAAAGAGACAGGTTCTACTCCAGAGAGCTAACAGTCCAGAGAAAATATAAGAGGTGACTAAAAAGACAAATGGGGGAAATGCTTAAAGTAAGTGTCTGCAGGCAGATATAGCTGTGTCAGTATTCATACAGAGCTATTGACTTAACCAGTCCTGGTTTGAAATACTTCTATTGGGGATTGTATGTATTATCTTTTAGAACGCATTCTCCTGTAAGTTATAATAGACAGACAGTGTCTGCATTATATTGCATTTATTCTTGCTATTTTTATCCTTTGCCATCTATCTGAAACTTCATTCAGTTAAGGTGTCAGTCACTGCCTTACATTATTTTTTATTTTTTCCTATTCTTAGTCTAACTTGGTCTCTCAGTTATTTTGTTAATAGAAATAGAAAATCAGCCAAAATTCCAATTTGTGTATTGAAATAATAAGAGACTAACACTGAGAGTATAATAAATCAGTAGTCCTCATGGACTCTATCACCCTGTAACAGATTCTTGCTCCAAGCCATTTATAGCAACTGAAATTTTATTTGAAAGCAAATATTTGATGAGGCAAATTAATTATTGTGACATTTTTCTATTGGTTAAAAAATGAGGAATCCAACATTTAAGACTTGCTAATGCTTTTTTTGGCATCAAGAAAGGAAACACAGGTATCTAATATTAAATAGTGCTGCAGAAGGGCGAGTTAGCACTTTGTTTGCCAAATTAAGTTTCAAAGACTGTGTAGGTTATGAAGTTTGACTTTCTGCCCATAAATCTTGAATGACTGACAGACTACTGTAAAATAGCTTTGTTCAAAAGGAATCCTTGGCAGGTGGCATCAAAGGTTTGAAATTCTGGAAGGGATGAAAAGAAAACCCCACTTTTGCACTGATTTCCCCTACAGATCAATGTCTCTGTGAAATTTGCCTGGGAATTATGAAGTATTTACTGTATTATGTGCTGGTTTTTTTTCACTGTATCCAAAGGCCCCAGTGGTTCCTTTTATCTTAAAGATTTAGGGATATTTTTGTACATGAAATCTGAATGAATGAATGAATGCATCAGTGGAACATGAGGGAAAAAAATGTTGGATTTAGACAGTTCTTTTCTTCCCTATTTTATCACAAATTGGAGTATTGGTTTTACGGCACCTAAATTTATGGGTACATATTTTTATGGTAAAGCCCAATGACATGTTCTGAATGCTCCATCAAGCTCTCTCAATGTTTCTTCACTTGATTCACAGCTCTGCAGGGTATGAATCAGTCCTGTAGCATAATTCTTAATCTCTTTTTAACCAGAATAATGTAGTGTGGGGTTTTTTTTAAAATTTATGATGTGTGTCATTGTGTCATCATCTAATTATGTAAACCAAAGAAGAGGAATATAAAATACTTCTTGGAAAACTCTTGTCAGCTGTCGATCAGTGTAGGAGATTAAGCTTATTGCATGTAAGCATCAGAGGCAGAAAATTTTTTGTAACACACAGGTCCTTAAGTCTGTCCTCAGCCAAGATGTGGCCTTGCTGGGGCATGGGCTGAAGAATAACTGGCTTTGCAGGGCAGTTTCTGCTTAGAAACCCAGCACACCTCCTCAGGTTCAAAGAGAGGCCTGAAGAGAAAAGCTCCTTCTACTTTCCACAGACTCTTTAAAGCTCCAATCCAACAGAAGGTGCTTAAACTCTTGTTTGTCTTCCACAGGGTGAAGTGAAGAAGTGAAGCCTCACAGCTGAACTACTATGAGGTCAGAAGCCTTGCTGCTATATTTCACACTGCTACACTTTGCTGGGGCTGGTTTCCCAGAAGATTCTGAGCCTATCAGTATTTCGCATGGCAACTGTAAGTATGAGGGGCCAGAGGACTGCATTTAGTACTGATCAGGGGACTTAAAATCAACACTACTTAAATACGGTTGCAGCAGATAAAGTTGTTTTTTCTTGACTTCTCCCATATCAGCCAATTTACATTCACAGGTACTACTAAAGGAACGTGACTTTTTCACATAGTCTTATTATTTATTAGTCTAATACAAATAATTGAACTTACTTCTTTAAGCTCAGATGGATTGTTCTTGCGCATTAGGCAATTTTTCCCTAAGATGGAATTGGACCTAAAAACCAAATCTAAACAAATAATCTTTTATGACAGAAGATCTCTCCTTTCTTACCAGCAGAGATTGGCAAACCTTCCAAAATCTGGTATAACACCAACAGCTGCATATTGAGATCTGCTGGCTAAACAGGTGGAGAGCTTTCTGAGCATTTTACTGGACATGAGGCTTGATTTAACTGATTCTTTCACATTTGCCTCTGCTCAGTTGCGATAATGGCAAAGAAAATTCTTCAAAGTCCAGAGTTTCAGATGTTTATAAGGAAGTCTTTAGCATCTGGGCCTCCAAAAGTGTGCCAGGGAGCGGCAAGTCAGCCAAGAGCAGGCTTGTGTTAAATTCTTTTTTTGTACAGGAATTTGGTTTTAAAATTGTCTGTGTTTATTGTGCTTTGTAATGGCCTTGGTGGCCATAAACTTGTCTGTCCTGTCTAACACCAGTCTGAAAGACAGGACTCCAGGGCACAACTGATGTGCTGCAAATGCTAATAGACCTCTGGGATACAACAGCAGAGAAAAACTGCAATGAAGCAAACCCAGGTAAAACGTGGCTAGTGTGGCCACTGGATCTTCAGCACCAACATTTTCACCCTCCAGAAGTGCCAATCATTCTTGCAAAAATTTTCCAGGTTTGATCCTTTTGGAGAAATAGAACATGGGATAATATTTCCTCTGCAGCATGGCATGCTGAAGTGGACATGAATGCCCCTACTTTGTTCTAGATGCATGAGTTATAGAGGAAACATTACTGAACAGAAAATAGCCTGACAATAAAACGTGGCATTTTGCATGTAGGACATGGTCAGAAGGGTCAAGCTTCTGAATGTAAATCTTGCCTGGTGTCTTAATTTATTTCTACAAGAGTTCTCAGCACCTGGTTTGGAGAGAAGTTCTTTTTTCTATCCAATTTTATCACCAAACTCTCTGGCACATGACACTTTGAAGTGCTTTGCTGAAGCCATGCTGTGACGGAGTACTTTGACCAAGCTTAACAAGTACAATGCTTTTAGAAGACAATAGCTGAAAAAACTAAAGCAGTAGATGAGTTTTTTAAGAAATAGACTCCCCCAAAGAGCTGCAGTCTTCTGGGAAAGCATATTAATTGGGAAAAGGCATAGCTAGATGCTAGTCAGCTCTGTATAACATTCACTTGCAGCAGGTCTGCAGTGATAACACTCATCAGAGGATTATCCTCCTCCTGTCTTCTGTCATTTTATTTACTTAATTAGCTCCCTGTTTGTGTACCTAGATGTGACGATCATATGATACGCATGAATGTGAAGTGGCCCTTGATCAGAAGTGTTCACTGCTGTTGTAGGTTGTACGCCCATCTGAAGAGCAGTGGAACACCCTGTGCTGAGTTCTCACCCCAAAAAAATAATGGGAATAAGTAATACATGCTCTTGCTGACTGGTAGAACTGGGGAGGAAAGCTGACTTGTTGATAGCATAAGCTCAGTACAGCGATTCCAATCAGTATTGCTGTCCAGTTGCCAGGAGGACTGGAGTATCAGACTGGTTGCCAAAATAATGTGCAGTGACTTTCACTTCGTGAAATTCAAGAGTGATTTCCCAGCACTTCTCAGAAATCCCTGCAGCTGTTCTATGACAGCAGTCAAGTCCTGTAGAAAACCCAGGGAACTGGCAGTCAGAACCACCAAGAGCCAAGCCTTTTGCTTTAGCCACTACCAGTCCAGTCATTGTGGTGATTGATAGGCAACTGAGGAACAGCTTTGTCCTGACAGACATGCTTTGGCAGCCAGGAGCAAGCATTTAAGCTCTGCAAACAGAAAGAAAAACTGTGAGAAAGTGCCATGTACCTGTGTGCCAAGAGCTCCAGAACAGCTTTACGCTTAAAAAAAAAACAGTTTTTGTCTTCTACAAAGGTGATGACTTCCTCCTTTGCAGCTGCAGAGACTGTAACCTTGAAGAACTCTCCAGCTCTCTGTGCTCATGCCTTCCAGCCCCAGTCTGCACTTCCAGGGCAGAACAGAAACCATGGGTTTGGCTACAGCTGGGCCCCGTGGTGCTTCACGTTAGCACCATTTCAGTTTGTTATTCTCTTTTGACCCTGTTGATTTTTTTTCCTTCCTGCAGATACAAGACAGTATCCGGTGTTTGTGGGTCACAAACCAGGGCGGAACACCACGCAGAGGCACCGGCTGGACATCCAGCTTGTCATGGTCATGAACAGGACCCTCTACGTTGCTGCTAGGTCAGTAGTCTCCAGCTTCACCATTTTACTGCTTTAAGAGGAGGAAGGAGAAGACAGGGAATATTCTGAGTTCTTCTCTGGTGAACACATTCTTTTTGGGACTGTCTTGCACTCAGAGAGAGCTTTGCAGCCTGTTAGGAAGACACATTAGAAACTTTGCTAGACGATCAGCTAAAGTTTTGTGATGTGTTACACCTGTGCTTTAGGACTACATGCCTCTGCGTTGCTCTGAAAGCTGCAAGAGGGAAGTTGCCAGAAAAATAATTTAGTTCCGTGGAGAAGCAATTCTGTCCTCATCTTTTTATTCCACTTGTGCTCATCAATAATGACAAATTTTAGAGAATAATTCTTCTGTGCACAGATGTATGTTTTTATAGAGTTGTTAGAATGTAATTTTGCTGATTTAGGCATGTTTTTGGTATTTTAAGACAAAAAAAAAAGAACCAAACATGCTTCCTCAAGATTAATTGAATTTAGTGTCTTGACTTTTTTGGAGTGGTATACTGCGCAGACATGAGCACATCTTTTTATAAAAATTGCACTTAGAACCGCCCATTCGGTTTGCTTAGCTCAGCTTGCACTATCAACCTCAGTGGGGCTACACCCATTACACAGCTGCCAACCTGGCAGAGATCTGATATTAACACTTCATCTCTGTACCTGCTGTTAGCAAAGAAGATTGATGATCTTAGAGTGGGAATTAAATGAGAGATGCAAAATGAGTGCAAGATGGGTCCAGATTAGCAAATGTGGGTGGTCCAGATTAGCAATGGTGGGCAGTCCAGTTTAGGAGCTCTTGGACCCAGATCCTGTTTGGGGCCTCCCTGCAAGCTGCCTCTCAAGTAGTAACTTGCTTCCTGCCTGTTTTCTGGTCCTCCATTGGAAAAATACACACCTTTCTGCATGTGCCACATAAAACCAGGCTGTTGCTGCAGATGGGAGAAGTGGTGGGTGGGATGGCCAAGAGTGAAGGGGAGCAGCTGCTGAACAGGCAGCTACTCACCACTAGCCCTGTCTGCAAAGCCCTTGGCAGCCTCTGGGAGCTGCCTGGCTTTCTTCTCAGACAGCCATTCCCATCTCCTGGGTGGTCGCTTGTGTCCTGTGGGGGAAAGCTGCCTGTCGGTCTCCGCGTAATCGGTAATTGCATTACTCCAGCACGGCCACCGAGTGACATTTTCACAGTTATGTCCCTGGCTGCTGGGAGAAGACACCTGTTCCCTTACCCAGCCATCACAGCTGCCCTGGCTCATTGCAGCTTCCTCAGCTCCTTGCATAGCCCACGCTGCATGGGGTCTGAGTGGCAGAGCTCAGACCTTGGACCAAGTCCAGGCAGGGAGCAAGTGTCCCTCCTCAGAGAGCAAGTGTCCTTCCCCATGGAGTAAGTGTCCTTCCCCATGGAGTAAGTGTCCTTCCCCAGGGAGCAAGTGTCCTTCCCCAGGGAGCAAGTGTCCTTGCCCAGGGAGCAAGTGTCCTTGCCCAGGAGCTGCACAGAGAGAGGTCAGCCCTGCAGCAAGTGGCAAAGCCCTGTGCTATGCCTGAGCTCCGGGATTGGTGTTTTTGCTGTGTTTAATGGGATAATGAGTGGGGCAGGGCAGAAGGTTGAGTAGGTTTGAAAGGTGGTGGCAGGATTTCCTCCTTTTCATGACTGAGCTCCCTTTGGTTTCCTTATTTGTTTTCCTTTAAATTAGGAAATTATTTGCAGTGAGATGGTGGTAAATCCTCTTTGCAGATTTTGCTTTGCTGTTTTCATAGTTTGTTCCCAGACAGAGATTGACGCAGTTAGATTGTCTCAGTGCCCAAGCAGCTGGCATTACAGCAGGAAAACCCAGAGAAAAGTTTTGGGATAAGAAACCACTGTGTGCACAAATTACATGAAAATACTAATATTCGTTGGATAACATGCACTAGTATGTGAATATGCATTCTTCCTTATTTGTATAAAACTACTTGCTACAACGACAGAGCTTATATAGTCCTAGGATCTTGTGACCTACAAAAAAGAATAAAGACCCGGTCTGTTTTGTACTTACACGGGCATGAAAAAAAAAATCTTCTTATGCGTATTTTTCCTTCAGTAACTCAAAACCTCTTTGACATATTCTTTCCCCTCTCGATGTTAATGAATAAAGTCCCTCCTGGCCTGACAAGACTATGTGACACAAGTTGAAATTCAGAGGTAATTCTTATCTTTAAGTAACAAACTTCAGAAAATGAGTCATCCTTCAGTATCTACTATGAATGAAAGTCTGTAATTCAAATACAGCATTTCCTTCAAAGGCAGTAGTAAATCTAGATATTGGAAGCAAATTTGTACACAAGCAAAGGTGTTTGCCAAAGAGTTTTGTAACAAGATTCATTGAAAACTGTAGCTAAATAAATCTTTGGGTTGTTATATGAGATACTGCTTTCATGCTTTTTTTATACACTGAAATACAGCGATTTATTTTATTTTAGGGCTGTTGTGTTTAGGTTGGGGTTGTTTGTTCGTTTGTTTGTTTATTTCTTTTGTTTGTTGGCTCGTTTTGGAAAATCCAGTGTTGACTTTCACAGACAGTTTCAGTGCACCAGAAAGGCTAACACAGATTTGAGAACTGCTTACATTTTGTTAATGAGCAACTGGCATAGAACAAAATTTCTGACAGTCTGCTACTTATTTTGTCATATGGGATACGTGACTCCTGTATTAGCTGTTACCAAATAAAGTTTTGTGTCACTTCACAAAGGCATTATTTCATGTTATCAGGCTGAAATACACAGCCAGTATAAATCAGAATAACTCAGCCAAAGGCCATAAAGCTTTACTGTCTGAATATCTGTCTTGAAGTCTGCAAAGGACCGGCTCTGTCTTCTTCTTCACTCGTCCACACCCAGGCATACACCCCCTTCTCTAAGTTTGCTGTGTCTCCTCCTCCCATTGTCTCGTGCAGTGGCAGCTTTTGTTCACATCATCTGCCACCCCTCGTGTGTGAGCGAAACAACAGGCACAGAGCAGGGTATGGGATGGCTTCCTCCTCATTTGCACTATTTCCAAACCATGCTCCCAGTGCCAAGGGTCGTGCACAGCCAGTGGCATTATTTAAATTCCCTTCCTCGACAAGATTATGCCATGGCAACAAAACTCAGTTCTGCTGGCTGGAGGTGGGAAAAACGGAAGCTCTAGGATTAAGTAAATTTGTGTTAGAATAACTTAATTAGCAGTAAACTGTACACATACCACAGCTAGTTGGTAGTAAGAGTTGGGCAGCAGTGGGAAAAGGAGGACGAGGTCAATCCCACGTTTTCTGTGATTAGGTAGCCCTCCCCCAAATCTGACAGCTCTTTCACTCTCTACTGACACTGTCAGCAGCTGTGTTTCGTCTGTGGCATGAGAAAATTATATGTAATTTTCCTGATGCTAACCTTCTTTCCAACAATCCCATAACTTAGCATCTGAGTTTCGTTTGAACTGTTCCTTGAACCAGAAAGTAAGTCCTGCTTCATTGAGAGAGGAACTAAACAACTCTTTCTGAGTCCCACTGCTGTATTTTCTAATTGTCTTGTTGAAAATTAAAAAATTGTAACCTCTGGAAAATGAGGCTGATGAATAAAACCAAGAGCTGTGCCAGAAGAAGTGTTTTAGAGGTCCACCTGCGCCTCATTTACAACTCAAGAGATTTTCCCCCTCACTTTTATATAGCAGGAGTGACAGCAATAAAGAGCAAAGCACATAAAAAGGGAGCCATGACGTAATCTATGAAGCTGATATTGTGCTAATAGGTAATTTTATTCCAGAGCCAACCCTGACCACTGCTCTGTCACTGAAGTCAGGCAAATAATAAGCTGAAGTATTAAACCAATCTTGGAAGTAAATGACAGCTCTGGTTTTAGAGTCTGGAGGAGAAGAAAATCCATCGACTCTTCAATTTGGCATCTTACAAAGCAAACAGCCTCAAGCTCCGTAGGAGACAAATTTTTAAAAGCTGGTTCCCTACCACAATGATTCCTCTTTTCTCCATCTGAGAGAAGTGTTGTTTATTTCTCTTGTAGCAGTATTCTGTGTTTGCCTTATTTAAAGAGACTAGCACTATTTCCCCAAAACCCAATAAAAATGAAGCTAACCTTGAGAGCAGGGATTTCTAAAATAGAAAGAGCCTGTATTCTGCTTTCAGCAGCCCCCTCCAATGCTGTGGATCATACTTCAGCTGCACAACTTTCTGCATGTTGAAAAAAATCCAATTTATTTCATGGAAAAATGAGATCTCAGCCCCAATTTGATGTGCTGGTTACTACAGCATTGTGGATTGGTGGGTTTTTTTCAACTTTTGGGTTCTATACAGAGCTGTTCTTGTTCTCAGTTTACACGAAGAGACTGTCTAAAAATATCTCTTTACCTGAGTAGCTGTGTCTATTTCCCCTTTCCAAGAAGAGATTGGCAGCAAATTCTAAAGAGGGCTAGGTTGTCAAGAAAAAAAAGGGAAAGGAAAGGAAAGGAAAGGAAAGGAAAGGAAAGGAAAGGAAAGGAAAGGAAAGGAAAGGAAAGGAAAGGAAAGGAAAGGAAAGGAA